TCTTCTCAAAGTGTTTGGTTAACATTGCTTGACATTCTTACACCCCACTCAGTTCCTGACCATCCGAGTGCTCTGTAACAGTCATTTCCATCAAAACTCTTCTTCTTCTTCTTCTTCTTCTTCTTCTTCTTCTTCTTCTTCTTCTTCTTCTTCTTCTTCTTCTTCTTCTTCTTCTTCTTCTTCTTCTTCTTCTTCTTCTTCTTCTTCTTCTTCTTCTTCTCATCCTCCTTCCCTCCCTCCTGCTCCTCTTTCTTCCTTCCCCTCCTGTTCTTCTGTTTTCACATGAGCCTGTCCTGTCTCGTCAAACACATCTTCTTAAATACCTCAGGAAATTTTTTACACAAAGGCAGATAGATGCTTGATGTAGAGGGTGAGGGGTGGGGGTTGCCCTGCAGGCAGCAATCATGGTCAAGTGTTGTCTTAAGAAAAACTGCTAAATTAAAGAGGGAGCATGGCATCCAGAAGGCAAGCTTTTTAACCACCAAGCAATAGAACCTTGAGAAAGTCTTCTGTTCTAACTTTTCACAAAAGGATCTCCCATCTTACAAACTGGAGAAATGTGTTTTCAGGTTTTGGCAGTGTTGTAGTGCTATGGAGATTGTTTCCTTGCAAACTCTGAAGAAATGAAATACAACTCAGGTGGAGATGGCATTTCCCTCCTGCCAGGAAGAGGTACCCTGACTCTAGGTGAATCTGTGGGGTTTCCCCTCACATTCTGAGCCCCCTGAGGTGGTTTCTCTTAACTTGATTGCTACTTAACCTTCACACCAGCTCCTGTCACTCGCAGGCACCTGAGAAGGTGGTATTTCACATCTGACGGTAATTGTAGGTAAACAGTTGTTCTGAATCCAGGATCAGCTCTGCCTTCCTCCAGCTGGGAGTCGTTCCCTGGTTGAAGAGGTCAGTTAGTTTGGGTGTGGAATGTGGAATCCAGGAAAGGATTCCTTCACCTCAAAAGAGAAGACCCTTCTGAGTTACTAAGCACCTTCCACGGACAGCCCCTGCTGTGTAGCCAGCCCCTGGCTCCCCCTGTGACCATCTTAGCCTGCTTCCTTCTTAGCTTCATGCATCGGAATTGGTGGGTGACAGGCTGTTTGCTCTCATTTTTTTCTCCTTAATATTAAATTGTTTGCATGACTTGGAGTTTTCAATATTAATAAATGACTTAAACAAGGTATATTTGCATATTAATATCCTAACCTTGATTAAATTGAAGAGGCCACCCAGAAAAAAATATTTTAAAAAAACCAAATTGCGGGGGAAGGGAATCCTGTCATAGACACAAAAAAGACTCCAATTATCTTTTCCCCTACAAGATGTTTGTTCTGTCCATGACTGCTCACACTTCAGCAATCTTGCCAGCAAGACTCAAAAAAAAAAAAAAAAGCCTTCTTCCAAAGCCACAGCCTTGTACATAACAGATTGTACAGTCCTATTGCCTTAGGCGGGTTAGAGGTTCCTCTCCACAAAGAGCGACACAGAGAAGTGCCAGCATCCAGATACATTTTGGGGGGTACTCTGCATGCGCTTGCCTTGGCTACAAAAAAGGGTTTACATGGGGCCCCAATTTGCTGTTTGGCTCACAAGAAAGCAGCGGGCTGCCTGAGCCAGACCTTAGAGCAGTAGGATGTCAGGTGTGCCTGTGGTAAATGGGCTGGGGAAGGGAAGAGCGGGGAGGGGGGGTGCTGCCAGAGAGGGTACCAGAGTCTTGAGAAAACGCTGGGAAATAAACAACCTCAAGGCAGCTGCGTTGCCCTTTTCCCTGCACTTCCCTCTCAAACGTCTGAGCAACCAGTTTGCTCCCAGAAACATGTTAATTGCCAACGGAGCTCATTAAGGCATGCACATGCAAAACACAGCAAGGAAGATTAAGTGGACAAAAGCGCAATAATGAACTGTCAACAATCGGGCCCATCTACAGAACCAGGATCACTCAAGAACGAGGCATTTAGAGGCAACAAAGGATTGTCTGGGACAGGAAGAAAAGACGACCTAGACTTTTGTTTAGTCAACACAATTGATTACAAATGAGAGATTAACAGGATAGCTTCAGATTTTTTTTAAAAGAGGCAGAAAAGAAAAGTCCAATTAAGTCCACCGAATGTTAACTACATTGCGTTCCATGCCTAGCCCCAAAGAAATTCTCATTAAACCATCCCTGGCGATCCCTTTTGGAAAGTAATTTGTCTCCCTGATGGAGCAGAGAAAGAGAGTCGTGTAAAAGAAAGCGTTAGTTCTTGGCACAATGAGCTTAGGAGACACACTAGAAAGAGCCAAAGGGGGAGTTAATGAGCATCTGACGAGCCGCTTGGATTCCGGCCTAGAGAACAGCGATGAAAAGATGAAATTGGCCAACAACTATTCTTTATATCAAACATAAAAAGGCCAATCTGAAATGGGGCTGCTCAAAACTGGATCAAAGTGCGTAGCTCCAGAAAAGGGAGCCACGGCCAGGCCCCTTGCTGGACAGTGGACAGACAGTCTGAAGAACCCAACAGGCCAAGAGTTAGGAAATTGAGTGAAAAGGAGGCTCGCCACAGAAGAGAACCTCCCCTCAGGGACCTTTGCAGGTGCTAAGCTAAACCTCTTGCTGCCCATCCCCCACTCTGTCTATTTCTTCTGGGAGTGAGAATGTAACCGGCCTGCCTTGAGGGGTACCTCCCAAAGTTCTTTTAATTTGATAATTAGCTCCTGACATTTACCTCCCTCTTTAAGATCCCGCTTGGCCTCTGGGGGTATCTTCCATTACAGAAGCATGTTAAGGTGACCTACATCCCTTTCCCCTAGCAGTCATTCAGAATTCTCAGTCCTATTGACAGGCTTCCCGATTCTGCCTGAGGAAGACGTCCTCACACTTGGCTTTGTGGAGTAGGTCTTGGAGTGTTTAAAACCAAATCTCGTCCTTGTTTATCGGACTTACGAAACTGTCTTATTTTAATGCTTCCTGATTTGAACAAAGTAGGTCAAGGATATATGTTTGTATGAGACAGGATACATGTTCACTAACATGGGCAACATCCAGGCACTCCTTAGCGCAGGAATGCTTGAAGGTTCTTTACACCGTGTTTAGCAGAGCCAGAACAGAATCCACAGGTGAGAAGGGGTTCTCAGGGTGGCCTCGCAGCAAGCACCCCAGAGCAAAGCCTGTGCTTCCCATCTCTGACTAGGATGGGTGCCACCCCAGATACTAGAGTGCAGCGTTTTGATCTTGAATCTAGGTTTGTTACTTTCCTTCAGATCCTTGGTAACAGCTATCACATTTCTAAGGGCTTGGCTTGCACCTCAGGTTTTGCTCATGCTTCATGGAGAGAAATACATTGGTGTCTAGAAGCAAGGAATATAGCAATTCAAAATAAAAACAGTCAAAGCACAGAGGTGTTACAGAACCTAGAGGGTACGCTAGGAGCAAAAAAGAAAGGGGACTCTCAGCTGTAGCCAGACCAAGTTTCGGATAAACTGTTCTTTTTACTGAGCTACAGATCTGACCACTGGCCTTGCATCCTTTCCTTCTTTAATCCTTTTAAATCAGAGGTCTCATTTGGACCTTTTCGTATTCAAAGAGTTTTCTTTACTGTGCCTCCTAATGGTTAGTGAATTTCCTAGGGGATTGTGCACTATTATTTCTAAGGAGAAAGTACTGTATACAGTTAGGAGCCTTGGAACTGATGCCAAAGTGATGGAGACATCAAAATAGCTGAGTTTGAATCCTGCCTCAGCTGCACAACCAGATTATGACTTTTTAAAAATACCTGTTTCTGTATCTGCAGAACGGGCATGTTGAGGGCTGCCAAGCCCAATGGCCCAGCTTGATCCCTGGAAACTGCACTTTGGAAGAGAGAACTGAATCCTGCCAGCTGTCCTCTGACCTTCCCTCATACACCCTAGAACATGTGAGCAGGCACATGCACACAAAACAAATGCGAGCAGTGCAAAACTTGAAATGGACATATTAAGGACACCTGTCTCCCAGGTCTGTGGTAAGGACAAAATGGTTAGACACATGATAGGATCTTCATAACAGCACCCAGCTGGTGCACACCGGGCATTCTACAGGCATGCTACCAGAAATGACTCCAATGGTAAAACCCCAGCATTTTATAAGGAAACCACATGGGTCAATGTGCTGACTCCTCACTAGACATAGTAGCTTTTGTTTTTGCCTCTTGTTTACTTATCAACTAATTTATTTATGAAGATCAGTGCACTCTAAGCATGTGCCCTACCACTCAAGTGTACACATACTTCTTAACCCCATATTAAAGAGCAGCAAACTGAGGTGTTCAACAGGTATGTGACCCCCTCCCCCACTCTAGCTCACATAGCCAGAATGCAATGGAGATGAGATTTACTCTCATACGGTGCCAGGGTTCTAACACACATGTACATAAAAAACACACATAGTTTTTGCTACACTTGCCTCCACGTTATTTACTGAGATGCCCAGTTAAGCCAGTGTTGCTGGTGGCCTAGGCATCCGCATTTTGCTCTGGTGCAGGAGGTTTCCCAGGCTCCAGTTTGAAAACCAGTGATTTAGCATCTGTGTTCTTTCTCCCAACTCACCCTGATGCTGCCTCCAAAAGGAGATAGCGACAACTCCTTTGAAATTAATACATTTGATCATTCATTCAGTAAACCAGGTTAGACTGCTTCTTATGCTTCTAGTTTTCTACTGGGTTCTAAGTTTACAAAGAAGAGGGTTCAGCCTCCGACCTGAACGAGTTTATAGTTTAGTAGAGGAGAAAAACACATGCAACAAAAATCCCCACCCATTACGTGGTTATGAAGACAAAATTGGGCATTGAATGCAGTCTGGGTTGGTGTGTGTAGTGGGCATCTGTTATTTTTGCCTGCTGATCATCATTCTCCCGTCTGGTAACAACATCCAACATTTCCTTTGGAGAAGTCACCCCTCCCCCCACTCTCAGTCCATATGGTTAAGGTGGGAGCTATTCCATCCGGCCACGCTTGGCATGTGACCCAGGCTTGGCCAATCAGAGCACAGCAACCCACAGGCAATGGCTCAAGACTGAGCAGCTGGCCAAAGGGGGCCAGTGAGAGAGTCCTATCCAGGACTTTTCCCTCGGCAGACACTTTATACTTGGGTTGCTTGCTACATTGTTAGGGAAGATCTTCCTGAATTGAGAGAGTACTAGAAGCGAAGAGGAGAGGTGGGTAATCAAGATCTGATGCAGCACCTCCTTAGACCTTGGTGTAACTAACCGGGTAGACTTCTCAAGTATTTAATAGTGTCTCTAAACTCGAAGAGCCCTGAGAAAACCAAAAGAGTGGCTCCTGAGATGTTAAAGAGAAACAGGTGTTAACTCCAGAGGAAAGGAGATTTTAAAAAACAAAAACAAACAAACAAAACAAAAACCCCTTAGGCAGAGAGAGTGAAAGCACTGAGCTCGAAAGGCCCCATGTTTCTTATAGGTAAGTGTGGTTGTGTATTTGTATCAGTTTATCTGACTGGGAAGCCTAGTTTTCTGTGCCTGCAGGACTGTGAGCTAGAGGCTTGCCTGCCCTAAGACCTGGGCTTCTGTTGTGTAAAAGGAGTACGGTTACACCCACCAAACCAGAATGCATGGGGACAGGGAAACCATTGCAGACCCTAATTCCGGTTATTATCACTGGGAGCTGAAGAATCTCCAGAGTTAGTGACTGGTTTGTATTTGAGATCCATGAACGTCTACAGGTAGTTCTTCTGGAGTTAGAAAAGTCTTGAGACCAATGGATGTACCCTACCAACTGTGACCTGGCTTCCCAGCCTACCTCCAGCCTACCTGTTTGCAGGGGTAGGGACAGTCCTGGGCTGTGGGCTTCCACAGATCAGCTGATTTAAACACTCATCAGCTTCTTATGATACCAGCTGTGGGTGATTTTTCAGAACATACCAAAGACGTGGTTGCTTTGTCTTTCCAATATTTAATATTCAGAAGGCCGTATGATTGAAATGCCATAAAATGTGGAAAGCGCCTGGCATGTGGCTAGCGAAACAATGGCAGCTCTTACCCTCACACTAATTATGGCTACTATTATTACCACTCAAATATTGGGATACTTGGTCATTGAAGCAAGTAGGACTACAGTGTTGCTTAGCAAATAAAGTACAAGAGCAGATCCTTCTCCACTGGGTTGACCGCTCTATGCCAATGCTTATGGGAGCAGATAGCCCTGAAGTGAAAACGTGTGCTGTTATTACTGATTCTGTTATGCAACCCTGGCTGACTAAGCTCACTGTGTATAACCCTGCCTGTGTGCCACCATAGCTGGCTTTTGCTCCTTCCTAACAGCTGTATGGCTGCCCAATCCAGTCTTGCAAGCAATCACCCTGTAGGAATTCAGTCATAAAACAAGTATTTCTGAAAGGCCTACTGTATGCCAGGCATGGTGGGAAAGACTGATTTCAATTTTGTTGATTGTCGTCCTGATGGCGGGAGATGGGTGGAAAACCAGGAAACGTGAAGTGATTTCAGAGTTTGATGAACACCAGGAAGACAAGAAAATATGGTGGCCAGGTGGAATGTGCCCTGGGATAGGCTATTTGAAATAGGTGGTACCATCTATTCTGGTGCAATTAAAGCCCCTGGTGTACCTCAGAACTAAGACACATCAGACCAACTTCCAATTATCCCCGCAAATTGACCCACTTGCATTTAATTTTGAAAGCAACTCTCCCTCCCCCACAATCCAACTTGCCCATTGATGGGTCCAACTTAAATGTTCTTGGAATTCAGAAAAGGATTTTTCTAAGGAATTCCAACAAAAAGCAATGAACACCCCTGGGCAGCTGGTGGCGTAGGCCTTTGACCCACATACGATTTTCCTATCAAATGGAATGGTAATTGATCAAAGTGAAAAATGTTATAGAAAGAGATATTGCTGCCATGTTTTCCAACCATGCATTTCCCAGCCAAGTCTCCAGATGGAATCACCGAAGCAACACATCCTTGACTTAAATGTGACTGTTTAACAGTTATATTGGGTAGGCCATATTTTCCACAAGGAGGTGGTTGCTTGTCTTAGGAACTTGAGACTCTTAACAGACTTTTGGGTGAGAGCTTTCCAGGATACCACTCTTTCCCTCACACTTCCTGCAGTCACAGAAGTCAGAGACCTAGCTGTGGTGTCAGGGGAGAGGGACCGTATAGTGAACTGTTACACAAGCTCCTTGTGCTGGCTTGAGAGTGTCTGAGTTCAGTAGCTGTCAGGATGGCTTCCTTGTTTTGTGTTTGCCTGTCCAGCCTCCAGTGTCCCTTCTTCTGGCTTTTGAGCATTCTGGTTTTGCTTGATTGCCCTTCTCACTGAACACAGGGTATTGTCACTGTGTGGCAAAGCCCTCTTATTCCATTCTCATGGGCCGGGGAAGGAGGTGAGACTCTAAGTAGGTCAGGTAGATGCTTTATCAGAATTGAACCCTTGAGTAGAGTGATTAACTGTAAATAACTGAAGGTAAGTTGTTCCAAGGAGACATGGAGCAGCCTGTCACTCATACTCGCTGACTTCCAAATCTGCTATTGCCATTTTTCCCTTGTCTTCTCAAGCAACCTTATGCCATTCCACGGAATTTTCTAGAACAGTTATCCTGAGGTTTTTGTTTGTTTGTTTGTTTGTTTGCCTTAAAATGAAAGATTTGAAACAGGCATCTGTATAGCTATGACTCATCTTCTTGTTATTGTCCTTTGAAATGGGACATATAAAACTTAGGATCACAGTTTGGGGCTGAGGAAGCAGCTCAACAGGTAGGAGGACAAGCAAGAGGGCATGCGCTTAAATCAGGCTTGCTGTGATCCTTTGTCAGCCAGCATAGGCAAAATGTTGGGCCTCCCATCCAGTGAGGGACCTTGTCTGGAGGCAATAAGGTGAAGAGTGATAGAGGAAGATGCTCAGGGTCTTGCTCTAACTTGCATTTTTTACAGACACTTGTACCTGCATGCTCACATGCAAGCATCACACACATGCTACATACACACTTCACACATATACACCTCTCGCCCTCCCCATCACACCATACACACACACTTCATACACTCATACCACACACACACACACACCTTCCCAACATTTTCTGCAGAGCTGAATCATATCTGGGGATCTTCAGGGATGCAGAACTTACACTTTCCATGTTTCTTACATGTGTTTATTTGGCTTTGGGAGGTATGATGGTTTGAAAGAAAATGGCCCTCAAAGGGAGTGGCACTAATTAGGAGGCATGGCCTTCTTGGAGGAAGTGTGTCATCGTGGAGGCGGGCTTTGAGGTCCCTTTTGCTCATAGACTCTGGAAGTAATCGAATGGCATCAAACCCTGAAGTCTGTCTGGTTTCAGGGGTTGATACTAAAAGCCTTTTGTTTGTTTTATTTTATATTTTTGGGGGCCCACAAAAGAATTGAATCCAGGACCTTGTACAGTTGAACAGTCTGTGTCTGAGCCACAATCTCAGCCTTTTTGCTTTTATTTTTTCCAAGCTGTGCTAAGTTTCCCAGGCTGGCCTTGAACACACTATGTAGCCCAGGCTGGTCTTGAACTTGTAATGTTCTTTCTTATCAGTCTCCTGAATACCTGAAATTTTAGGCATGCACCCTTGTGCGTAGCTTTTTGCTTTGATTATTGAAGAGTACACATTTGGAGTAAGAAGCTTTATCCTTTCTGCTTTACAAAAATGCATTTCCTCAGTACCTCTCAGAACACACTCATTCCATAAGCTTATCCATACAAACAGGGAATCAAAGGCAGCAATAGGAGAAACATACTAACTAAAGTGGTTATCAAGGGAAGAAAGGCTTTAGGTCCACAAACACTGAAATTCCTGATAGCTAAGGCTCTAAAGCAAGGACAATACACTACATTGTCCTGTTGTTATTCAAGAGACATTGGGAAATAAAAACAACAGCTTCTTGAATTAGACTTCTTTCAGAGTTTCTTTCCAGTTACTTCTTCAACCTTGAACATTGTGAAGTGTGCTCATTCCTCTTCAGATGGTCTCGCAGACCTTACCCTACAGGATCCATCCTTTACAGGTTAGCACCAGCTGGGTTGTGTTATAACAGCTAGCAGGTGCTGTTAAGTTCAGCGCCAGCACAGTTTACAGGGGAAAGATGCAGGAAGCTGAAGTTGCCTGATGCTTGTGTCTGACTCATGAAAATGCATGGCTTCAGTAGAATCTTCCTCTTGACCGCACTTTTCTCTCACATAAATTTCCCGTATCTTACACATCTATAATAAAGTGTGTGGGGTTTCTCCAGGGATAAGAGCTGGAGCAGAGTCGGCTGTTCGAGTGAGGCAGAGTAAACATGGGATTTAAATTGTAGGTCTAGGATTATGTTGAGAAGGTACACAGAGTCTCTATGGTTTTCTTTCAAATCTATAAAATTGACATAAGACTACTGACTATCTCCTGCAAAGAAATACTGTGATGGAACAATGGACTGATGTTTGCAATGACATCCCAGGAGGCAAGCTTTGTAGAACTCATGAGTGGCTATGAGCTTACGGCAGTTCCATTGCATGACTTCTGGGGAGATAGTGGGGGATGAATAGCCTTGGATCTAGGCGTGTAAGTTCTACCTCTGGGAACTTATGTGTCTGCTACGGAGGAGACATTTGGGAGTTCACTTCCCATGAGGCTGTTTGTTTTGTTTTTACATAAGGTCTTTTCTAATATGTAAGCCAGGCAGACCTCAAGCTTCAGATCCTCTTCCCTCAGCTACCTCAGGGCTGGATAGATGACCACTAACCTTCATACCTGGCTCTCTGAGTCCTAAGTTCTTACTGAGTTTGAATCTGCTAACTGCTGCTATTTTGTATATACCATTTTCTTTGCTCTGCCCTAACATCCTTCTCTCTCCTCCTCTCCTTCTTGTGGCTGCCTCCTGCTCTGCTTGTTTTATAAAAGACTTTCCTAGAAATGACAGAGTTGAATAACACTGTTGAGTAGCTCTTGGCCCAGATTTGGCTTTTAAAGACCTTTGGGGAGACTGGGCTCTTATTTCTCCCCCTTACAAGCTGTGTTACAGTTCCTTGGTTCTTCTCTGCCTTTATCATGGTCTATGTTCTTGTTTCGTTTGTACTATTATAGGCAATGTATCTCCTTGTTCTTTCCTAATTTGCTCCCCAAGAATGTGTTGTGAATAACATGGTAATGTAAGGGTGTGCTGTCATTAGAGTGTCAAGTGTCAAGTTCTGTGCCTGGCACATTATAGACACTGAACAATTCTAAGGTATGAATAAAATAAAGTTTCTCTTCTTTGGAAAAAAATCTTGAGTTGCAAATGATAAGCAAAGTTCAAAGTGGAGATGATACATGCCCTGTGCTCTCGACTGGGGAGTAGAAACTGAAATGAACAGAATATATATTTATCATGATAATTGTAGTTTACTTGGCATTTGCTATGTTCATGGACTACGATGAATGTTATTTTTAATTTTCCCAACCTTCTAGGCACACGCCATATTTCAACAGGGAAAACAGAGCTTCCCAGCGAGTTCTTATTGGCCTGATCTATGACTGGCTGAGCAGCCTCCTGAAGGTCACTGAACTCCATGTCTTGCTCTGTCCTCCTCCCTGTGATGTCTTCTCCCCTTGTCGACCTTGCCAGACATGGAATTTGGTTCTGCCGCCTTTCAGTGGGACTTGTTTTTCTCCGAAATGAACGCTTTTTCATCTGCATGCCTTCTTTGGTGGCTGACATTTTTTCTGTCTTGGGTCACCAGTCTCATATTTCAGTCTCTTTGGCAGCCCAGCCCGTCTCCAGCCCCTGGCTCCAGTCTCTTGCCTCCTACTCCTCATCTGCACTGAGATTTAGCCACGCTGTTGGCTTCAGTCCTTGCAACAAGCCGCATCCCTTTGTTTCTGCCTGATGTTCTCGTCCCTCTCCCACCCTCTGACTCTGCATTTAGCTCCTCTGCATTCTTTAATGCTTCTATCAAATGTTACCTCCATCTGTGAACGCCTGCGGGATGTAAACTTGCCCATGTATTCTTCTCACCTAATCTTTTAGGGTTCAAGTACTTAGGCTTTTTCTTGTTTTTCCCTCTTTCCTTCTTGTACATGATACTCGTTAAATACTTGTTAGAAAGATTGGATCTCATCATTTCACTGCTCAAAAGCCTCCAGAGTGTTACTCTTGATAACTCAGGGCAAACCTCTTACTGGTCCTTACAAAGCCCTTCCCCATCCCTTCACATTGTGAAGTTCTTGTGAGTTTACCCACTTACTTCTCTTCACTCCATTCCACTCCAACTATTCTGGCTTCCTTGGCTTCGTTGGTAGTAAGCAAGTACCTGCCTCAGGACCTTTGTGTGAGCCTTGTTTTGTTTTCCTCTAGACCCCTTTCTCATCTTCTTCAGGTGTTTGCTTATATCTCACCCTCTACCTCAACTATGACACTTTCCTAGAAAATAAACAAATCATCTTTCCACCTTTTCCTCTGCTTCTTCCTCCCACAAATGCTCCCCACTACCCTCTGTGGCTTTACTTATTGTCTACCTCTCTGCATCAAACTGATGTATAAAGTTCATTAGGGCATGAAGATCTTTGGGAAGATGGAGCCTTCGACTCTTTGCTCCTTCCTGCTTCACTCTTGGATCCCAGGATACTGTCTCACATGTATGTGTACTGAATGAAAGGCTGTGTCATCCCTTCTGACATGCTTCACCGCTCTTCCTGGCCCCTTGAGTCCCAGCAAGCCTCCACCGAGTCTCTCAGCAAGGAATGAGAAGACCTAAATGAAGATACTAAATACAGCCCCGTTGAAAAGTGTACTAGACTCCTGCCATCAAATCTTAGATCCCTGGGGACTCTCAGAGGGTACTTACCCCCGAGAAACCTACTGCTGGGCTGTAGCCTTTTATTGATGCTGCTGATGAATCTAACAATTAAACAAAATAATGTCTTTTCCTGCAGTCTCCCTCCTCTTCCGACTCGAGGCTTCTGTCTCAGGCTATGGAGCCAGCTTCTCAAAGTAGGGCAGTTCTTGCAATCCCTGAACTGTATGAGCCTTCAATTTTTCTCCATTCTTAAGAAAGGAAATCAGAAAGCAATCAGAAAGAATTGGAGAGGTTGAATTGATTTGGGTTTTTGAACCTTATGCACCTAAAGCAAAAGCTGCAGTTCAGGTTTATGATGATGAATATGGCTCTTGTCTTTCTTTTGCATATATACATATATGTGTGTGTATTTGTATATTATGTATATACACACATATATATGCACATACACACACACACAGGTATACATGGTTCTGCTGTGTAGCCTAGGCTGACCTCAGACTTATGATCCTCTCTCCTACAGCCCCCTAGAGATGGGATTACACATGGGAACTACCATTCCCAGAATGTGCAGCTGCAATAAGGTTGCCAGGTGTGAATGGAGTCTGCCTCTGTGCTAGCTGGGTTCAACGACTGCTCCACATTTCTCAGCTTTCTGAGGCCTGGGATCGTGCCTGCTTTTGTGTTGAAGCAGGCCCTCTTTGAGTACATGAGAGTCCTCCTCCTTTTCTACCAACCCAGCATTCTCCGCTGTCTTCTGAAGCACCTGCAGGGTTTCTGCATCACTCTGCCCAGGAGGCCTTCTTGTTCACCCTCCAGTGGTGGACATCAGCACACGGGAAGCAGAGCTTAACACAATTCATTGAAAAGAGTAAAATGTGAAAATAATGTGCTTCCCCCCAGTTCATTAGAGCTTGGGATGCTAATGTCTCTTTGGCCTAAATATGAGTTATACCCCAACTACACTTGTTCATACTTAATATGCATGCAATGTCTTATTTCCATTTTTTCTACAGAAATATAGTTGTTTTTTTAAAGTCAGTAGAATCTGTACTTATTAATTATCCTGATGTTTGCTTCACAGACAGCTAGATGTCAGCATAACCTTGACACCTCAGCGGAGCACTGGTTAGGGACCGCATGAAAATTCCATTATTCTCGAGGCTTCAAAGAATCTGTAACTTCTGGGAAACAAACAAACACAACCGACCTTTTGTTCATCGTGAATGACCCTTAAGCCAATATTTGCTCAGTCTGGCTCCAGGATTTGCTTCTGCTCAGCACTTAGACTGATCAATTTTCAGAAATTGTAAGAGAAGAAAATAAATTCTGTCTCCAAACGATGTTTATAATTTCATATCTAAATTAAAACATGTCGATTCCACAGCAATAGTCACTATGGAAATAGAAACATATAGGCCTCGATTCTAAATCAAGAGAGTGTTTAGCTGGGTGGTATATATTTTCCATCATGTTTTTAAAAAATCTGTTACACTGTATGCATTTTCAAAGACTTGGATTTGATAAGCCTTTTAAGAAATAGTACTTGTGTGGGTCAGAGTAAAATGAAATGTACTTTGTATGGTTTCAGATGGGCCTTGTAACGTCTTTTCTATTAATGAAAGTTACATTGAATTATTAGAATTACTACAAGATTTTAAAAAAATGAAACAAAAAAATCTATGAAATAAGTCCATGGAAGCTTCCATAGCAAGCAACTATGCCTAACTACCTCCACTCAGATTCTTCTAAAATTCAAATGTTGTATTAAGAATACTGGCAAGTATAGAATGGATTTCAGAGTTTAAATAGAATTGCCACTCACATCTCAATTTACACGTAATTATCAAGCTTAATTTAGCTGTAGAAACTGCTTTAAAATATATTTGCCAGTCCAAAAAAATTGTTAGCTTAAAAAAGTCAGACAATAATAGAAGGTAATTTATTCTAATGTTGCAGCATGCAAAAAGATTTTAAACTTACATGGAAGTTTTGGAAGAGAGAAAGGGCTTTTTCTCCCTATTCAGATGAATAAATAAGAAATGCCTTCCTCCTTTTAAACACCACCCCCAGCTACGAGTTAACAATACTTCTTTTTTAAAAAATTTATTTAACTTTATTTTATGTGTTGGTGTGAAGGTATCAGAGATCCTCTGGAACTGGAGTTACAGACAGTTGTGAACTGCCATGTGGGTGCTGGGAATTGAACGCGGGTCCTCTGGAAGAACAGCCAGTTCTCTTAACTGCTGAGCCATCTCTCCAGCCTAACAATACTACTTCAACCAGTCCCTGCATGCCTACTGTGTGCTGGGCCATGTTCAGAAATTAAATGTTACTCTCCAGATCACTTTAAACAAACATATGCTGTGATCATTTTGCTGTAAATATCACATGCCAAGCATATAACTCTTTTACACAAAATATATCATTATTCTCATTTAAAAATTATAAAGTCCCTCTCTTTTGAAGAGCTCAGATGTTTTCAGAGTTAAAACACATTATCTTCACATTACTCCTCTGACGATGGAAACTGAGTCAGTCCTACTTTTTCTCTGTCCAGGTATGCCTTCTAAAACTTAGAAGTGGAAAGAAGATAAAAAGTGAAACAACCAGGATGCTACATCCTTGCCCACTGATGGTAACATGAAAGGGTCATATTCTCACCTTTATGGTAAGAAGATCTATTGTTGAAGGTAGTTCCTTGCCCATTTCAGGTATGAAATTTGATTAGGGTCTCCTTACCGATATATCTAACCTCAAAGTCATTTGCTTATATGCACCATGCGGGACCATGTCATGAAATATATAGGTCAGCCCAGCTAGGGGATGTGTTTAGAGCTTTAGTAATTTGGACAGCCTTTCTAAGAGTACAGCTTGTCTCATAATTAAGCAGAGTCTGAAGATCTTTTCTTGGTAGCAGCTGACATCTTCTAGTCATGCCACCAAATGCAGTGGGGATAATTATGTGTAAAACTGAGATGTGTGATGGCTCCCCTCCCTTCCTTCTAATAGGTAACCAAGGCACAGTCATCTACATTTCTTGCTTTTTTTCTCTTCAGCCCTTTTCACTGTAATACCTCTGACTTTCCAGACATTTGAACCGTTAGGATCCTTTGACATCATATCAAGTGTTGCCTGATTTAATGTCAATGATGAGCTGTTTTAGGAGAGTCACACTTATCTTCTGTCAATGTTATAAATGGCTTATAAATAATAGATTGGGAGGTTCACCTGAATTTCTGTCCAGACAATGTGACACTGAGAGCTCTTAGCTGCAAGTAACTTGAAAGGGCCTAAAATGTCAACATTAAGTGTTCAGTATTTTAAGAAACCATGAAGCCGGGCATTGCTGGCACATGCCTTTAATCCCAGCACTCGGGAGGCAGAGGCAGGTGGATCTCTGTGAGTTTGAGGCCAGCCTGGTCTACAGAGCGAGTTCCAGGACAGCCTCCAAAACAATACAGAGAAACCTTGTCTCAAAAAACAACAACAACAAAACAAAACAAAAAAAGAAACCATGAGCTAAAAGGGGTGTGAGGGGGGCCCAAATCTGATAAGATTATGTTAGGTTGATGTTCTTTGCTTTACAGGTTCCCTTCAGGCTAAAGAAAGTACCTCAGGCCCAAGCTCATGTGCCATTCCAAAGTCAATCAACGGTGAGAAGACTGGCATGGCTGGTTAAGATCAACAGCATTTCTGGTTACTAGTAGTGGTGGGGCCACTCCCCTGAAGGCACAGTAGTTTTTTTGTTTTTTGTTTTTTTACGAGACAGGGTTTCTCTGTATTGTTTTGGAGGCTGTGGTCCAGCCTGGCCTCGAACTCACAGAGATCCGACTGCCTCTGTCTCCCAAGTTTTGTGATTAAAGGCATGCGCCACCACTGCCCGGTGGCACAGTGGTTTTTAAAAGATGATACCTGATTGAAATCAAGCTGCACTGAAGGAAAGAGTATGTGTGATATAAATGTCAGGATGCAGCCAAAGGTGTCTGTTATACAAGATCTGGAAAAGGAACACAAGGACCTTAAATCATGACATCAGAAGGGTGTGTGGGAGTTGATGGGTATCTTATAGGTTAGTAAAAGGAAGATAGAGGGATATATAGCTTTCAGATGGCAACATTTAAAATTTATATATACTTGCATAATAAAAACGCTATAGTTTTATTTAATGTTAGAAATTTACACTTAGTACCAAAATAGAAATTGTCTTACTTTTTTTCCTCATGTATGCAGTCAACATGCTTTGTAAATTAGCCACTCCAAGTAACAGCAGACATTAAGCACTTAACATTCTTTCTGTCTAAAGTTCAAAATATTATCAGTGGAGAAAATTAATTAGCTGAAGTCATCTAAATAAACTTTATAATTTGTTTTCCTTTAAGTTTGATTTGACATTTAGATTAAACCCAGATTTGGGGAAATGTTTTTGATGCTACTTGGCATGCTTTTGAAATACATTATGTGTTGCTGCAGAATTTACACGATCAACATTTAGATGTCACCAGAGAGACATGCATCCTTGCACTGTGACAGACATTATCAGGCACTCCCAAAGTAGCGGCAGCTATTCACATTGAACTTCAAGAGGCAACAGAAGAAATGTCAAGAAGCACGGAATTTTCAGAAGTCAGAGGCACAGGCGACTTGGGCTTTCCATTTGAATTTGTATCAAGTGACCAGCAGAAGTTTTACAAGCAAGATTCCACACACACAGAGAAGATGTGGAAGCTGGCGGCTTGCTCCAGTGATCGCCAGCTTAGTGATCTAGAGATCACAGCTTGACTTTGGGCTCATCCTCACTTAGACCACTCCCTTCTATTATTTAGATTAACCACTCCCTTCTATTATTTAGTTTAAAAAGTTGAACTGAATTTTTAACTTTTTTTTTTTTTTTTGGTTTTTTGAGACAGGGTTTCTCTGTGGCTTTGGAGGCTGTCCCGGAACTAGCTCTTATAGACCAGGCTGGTCTCTAACACACAGAGATCTGCCTGCCTCTGCCTCCCAAGTGCTGGGATTAAAGGGGTGCGCCACCACTGCCCGGTGTTGCTTTGTTTTTTAAAGAAAGAGTCTCCTATATCCCAGTGTTGTTTTCTCCTTGCTGCAGAACATGACCAAGGACTTAGAACCTCTGGTCCTCCCAGTCCCACCACCTCAGTGCTGGGATTAGAGCTGTGCTGGGGACCGAACATGCACCGTCAGCAAGTACTCTACCTACTGAGATATGTTCCCCAGCTCTTAATATGTTCATTGTGAAAAAAAACCTAAAGCACACAGAACAGTAAACAGCACAGGCTAGCATCTTTAATTTGAAAAGCCCAAGTGCTCCCGAATCTGAAGCTTCTCTGGGTGCTGACAGAATGTCACCTGCTCTTACATGATGGAACACAGTTTCATAGACCCACCTGCACACTCAGCAGCTACATGAGAGGCAGAGATACATGTTCTTATTTAGATGTGGGTACATTACTTATATGTAAATATCCTAGAATAAAAACAAGGCTGGAGCCATGGTGATCTGAGACATTCATTTCTTGTGCAGGTTTCCAGCCAGAGTCTTGAACCCTTGCCTGCCCAGATGCAGCAGTGAGGTCCTGACTGACTTCCTTGGACCTTCACACTGGCTTTTCACTGAAATGGCAGCTGTTTGTTGAAATATCATAAAGCAAGTTCAAGAAATGACTTTATCTTCCCCAGTATACTTCAGTGTATTTCAGTTTCAATATGACCTTTCCATTTATGTACGTGGCAATATGCACCTCTGCCCTTGAAATTCATTTTTAAATTAAAGTTATAAAATTTGAATTACATCTTTTAAAAAGATATAGGCTTTTTCTTTCAAAACATTTACAACACCATTTGGTATTATCACTCACAAAAACAGTAAGCTTGCAAGGTTATGTAATAGTAAATCCATGTATCCCAACTCTCCTAGTTGATTCAAAAAATCACCTTTTAATAATTTCTTTGAAACAAAACCTGTTCTCTCTCTCTCTCTGTCTCTCTCTCTCTCTCTCTGTCTCTCTCTCTCTCTCTCTCTCTCTCTCTCTCTCTCCCTCCCCCCTCTCCCCCTTTGGTGTGAGATGTGTGTATTGTGTGGTATGTGTGTGTATACATACCCATGTGGTACACACCGGATGAGTCTCCACCTCATTGCCTTGAGACAGGATTTCTTGAACTGGAAGCTCAGGGTCAGCTAGGCTGGCTGGCCAGCATGCTCTCAGGGTCTGCCTGTCTCCACCTCACCATGCTGGGGTTGTAGACATGTGTGGTTGTGCAGCTTTTGATGTGGAGCTGAGGAACTGACCGCGGACCCTCATGCAGTACAGGAGCTCCTACTCCCCCAGCCATCTTCCCAGCTCTCCATAGTGTGAGATGTATTTATTTTGGAGCTAAGAAGTGAACCCAGGACTTTGAGCTAGTACTCAAGCATTCTATCACCGAATTACAGTCTCAGGCCTGAAATTCATTAAAATTTTTAAGTTAGCATACATAATGAATATCATTATGACCTTTTCATTCATTAATAGTATTGTACTTTTTCATATTCACCTCCCCCTTGTAGTACATTTTTAAATTAAAAAAATTGTATTGTTGCGTGTGTGCATGTTATGTGTGTTCCTGCAAGCACATGTGTGCCACAGTGCATATGTGGAGGTCATAGGATGAGTCTGTGGCATCAGTTCTCTTTCATGTTGTTTATGTGTATTCTTTATGTATGCTTCATATTTATGTGCATTCTTCATGTATGTTTCATGTTTATGTGTATTCTTTATTCTTCATGTATAGTTCCTCTTTATTGTGACCTAGGTTGTCAGGATGCGTGCCAAGCTCTTTACCCCCTGAGCTGTCTCACCTGCCCCACACTCATGTCTTCATGTGAGCCACAGTCAAAAACACATTGGGGGGACACTGCCAAGGGTGCTCACAAGTTTGGGTTAGACAGTAAGGAGCCAACTTTCCTAGTTAGCAGATTCTTTTTATTTTTAAAATTTATTCTTTGTCTTTCACATCATGCCTCTGAATCCCAACCATCTCCCTCCCCACCCCAACATAAAACAAAATGTATTTAAGAGAAAAAGGAAGAAGTGGGAAATCTCCTCACGGAAGCCACAGTGTGGCCTAGTGAGTCACACAGCAAACCCCTTTGTCCATTTTTCTTTCTTTTTTTTACATCTAAGCATTCATCATCACATCTGGTTCAAGGCCCCAGTCTCTGCTACACCATGGATGCTGGGCCTCACTGGGCCTTTTTCTGGACATCTTGCGGCTGTCCTCTGTCATGGAGATCCTGAAGCCCTGGATCCACAGGACTGACCCTCCCCCCCACACACACCTGTGCCCCAGCAGATCACAGATGGGGTGGATGCTGGGGTAGTTCTGGATCTGGGTACTGGCAGGGTGGTCAGCCTGCCAGCTCTCCCCTGTCTTTGGTCAGGAGTTTCTGTACATGCAAAAAAAAGGAACAGTACTGTTGAATCGTTGCTGGAGAGATGGCTTCAGCCATTGTGAGCATGCGCTGCTCCTAAGACAGAGATTGTCAACCTTCCTAATGCTATGATCCTTCAATTCTTCATGTAATTTTGCTACTGTTATGAATCATAATGTAAATATCTGTGTTTTTGTATGGTATCTTGACTACAAACATGGGGGAAGAAGCCAAAAAGGAGTACAGGACATGTGATATGTAAGCTGACCCCTTGACATGGGTACAGTTTTAAGATGAGATGAGACATGATAAATATTGTTGACTACAGAGTCCTTGCGACTTATTACATGCCATCCTTTCACATGGCATTGATAGAGGTTTATATTACAGTTTGATTATACAGTCCTAATGAACTTATAAAGTTGACAGATGCCTTTTACCAGCTCAGACATAAAAAACAAAAATCATCTTGAACTGACTTGTGTACACCACACATTTTATACTGTGTTAATGCAGATACATATATATATATATATATATATATATATATATCTTACCTTTGAAAGTTTATGTGTTTTCAGAGCAGAGACTAGACACCAGGTTATCCAGCATCTCAGAGTGCCTCTGTTGCAATTTTCTCAGAGTTTTGCATCCAGAACATCAAGGCTGATGGCTGAGATGGTCCAGCCTCACAGACTACTCTAGCCAGGACTTCAGATAAGCCTTGAACTTTCTAATTGCACAGAAACTAGACAACAAATAATACAGCTAAATCTCCTTGGACTTGACCATTATCTCAATTTCCGCAGGGTCTCCTAAAGATGCCAGTGCCCCCAGACAACAAGAAGCAGTCTGGAGAACATGATACCCACATTCCCAAGAGATAGGGTGGATGGCTTTTGGTCATTTGATGGGTTATAGATGTTTGTCATCATTTAAGGAGGTTGGTTACAAGTTATTATTGATCATGGTCATGGAAAAAGCTAAACAAAGGAGTTAGGTTCAAGGATCTCTTTCTGAAGGTAAAAAGGGGGCTATAGTATAGAAACAATGAGATAAAAGGGTGAATTGTTGATTCTACTTTTATTTTTTTAATGTAATTTATTTTTATTTTATGTGCATTGGTGTTCTGCCATGGGTGTTGGGTCCCCTGGAACTGTGATTATAGACAGTTGTGAGCTGCCATGATGGTGCTGGGAATTGAACCCGAGTCCTACAGAAGAGCAGCCAATGCTCTTAACTACTGAGCCATCCCTCCAGCCCCTGATTCTACTTTTAAATAACCACCAGTCTCAAATATTTTACCTTGGTATGGGTTTTTGTATATTGTATATTAGGGTTATTTTGTTATACTGTATATATGTTTCTACTCTTGTTTAAGGCATTGTACCTATGTAGAGCATTTAAAAGTTTATGTAAAGCTTTAGTATTTGAAACCTATTTAGGATAATAAATACAGGTTAATAGTTAATTATCTATAACTATAAAAATACCTAAGTTACGTATGTTTTCAAGAGCATACAGAGATATATTTTAGATAGGTGATCTTCAAGAACTTCAAAGACCTACAGAACATGGCATTTAAAATGTTTTTAGTAGCCAGGCGGTGGTGGCGCACGCCTTTAATCCCAGCACTCGGGAGGCAGAGGCAGGTGGATCTCTGTGAGTTCGAGGCCGGGCTGGACCGATAACCTCCAAAACAATACCGAGAAACCCTGTCTCATAAAAAAAAGAGCAAAATGTTTTTAATAACTTAAGGTCTTTCAAGAATGTGGGACACTTCTGCTCCTGACAGCACCAATTTACTTCAAATAAAGATGATGGGCATCGAAGAATCTCCATATAGAGTTTTCTTTCTTTATGACAAGAAAGTGCCCTTTCCTTGACTGCTGACATTATGTTGTTCAAACTGGACCAGCAGGACACAAAGAAAAGTGACTGCTGAACTTTGCCTAACAGGGTTAAGACAGTCTTTCAAAAATTTCGGACTCACAGAAAAGTCTGTCAGATATTCTAGACCTGTAAATTGAAGATGGATGCCCCAACATTGCAGAGGAAAACTGGGTGACTATCCAGGCAGCCAGTTGTTTCTTTCAGTTTTGGAATTTGCTTGCTCTGCACTTTCTTTTTTTTTTTTTGCCATTTCATCATTTATCTGACTCTCAGTCACGGCACACGCTTTACATGGGGGTTTGGAAGCTGAGACAGATGAGCGCTAGACGGCAGTGCGTGGACACAAACAAGGATAAGATGAAAACGCTACTGTTGTGGTCAGGGGCAAATCAGAGTAGGCCTTGGCCCAGGGTTACATTCACAGCTCAGGGTAAGTGCAAATGAATGGAATGTCAAGACTGAGCTCAGAGGGCTGCTCCCTTCTAAGCACAGGGCCTCAGAGAGGAGGACTGGAGCCAGAGCCGTGGCCACCCTCTCCTCACTATATCCTCCTGACCCTAAGAAGCCCCTGCCCCTCCCAGAGGGACTGGGTTCCAGGAGCCAGTGCTCAACTCCAGACAAGACCAGCAGTCTCACCTCCTGCAGATCTTACAACCTGGAAGGGGCAGAACTTGCAAATAAAGTGTTAAGGCAATAAATAAAAAAATTCCCAGCTCAGGCTGACAGGACCCTGCAGCTGCCATGACAAATGCTTACAGGACCCTGGGTGCAGCAGCCCTGAGGTGGCTCTATGCTGCTCTGCAGCCTCAAAGTGTGTGTGCGCGGAGCTGAAGGCAAAGTCCAGCTCCTTGTGTGTGTGTGGGGGGGGTGGTGGGGGGGCTGTGCATCCTCTGTCACCCTCTGCCCTCCCTGTCATGGTTCCCAGGCCCTCACTTCTAGAACATCAGATAGTAACACAGGTGACAGGCCATTGTGAGCTCTGGTGAGAGCCCTCAGCTGGAGCCTGGCGATGCCCAGGAAGTTCCAGGCTCACGGGGGAACGGGAAGGGCCCAGTCCCACCTCCTCCATCTTTGGTGGTGTCAGAGGTGGGATAAAAACAGAGTCTTTGGCAGGGTGTGGGGATGTGAGGGGACAGGGCCCTGGTTGGTGCCTGGGTTTCTGAAGGGCACAGGTGGGGCCAGCTCACCTCTGGATGGCCCAGATGGGGCTTTCCATACCAGCCAGAAGCCTGGGTTCTGGCTCCTACCCCAGGATCCGGTGACTGTCACCACATAGCCCCACATGTCCTATTCCTCACCGATCACCTCCTTGCCCTCTGTCTGCAGCTCAGAGGGGACTGAGGCCCTGTGGCCATATCTCTTCACCACCTTCCTCTCTCACCATCTTCCCCTTGTTACACCTTACTGTCCCTGGCTTGTCCCTGCTGCCCAGGCAACCCTGAGGGCATCTGGATAGGCACCTAGTGGTTCCTCTCCATAGAAATTTGT